TTAACGCACTCGAAACGAAAAATTTATTCTTTAATCCCGTTGATTTGTTTCATCGGATCTAAATCAACCGAAGGAAAGGAAAGATTTATCTCTTTGTTTCGAGCCATTATTCATTTTTCGAAGAAATTTACAGTCACGCATGGCGAATTACGCGAGAAAGAAATCGTTTCGGATGCGGGGCAGCGACGTCGAGCATTTTCAATAATATCTCGTCACGGTGTCTAGGAAAAATGGCCGAAACGCGTGAACGGATGCGCGCGTATCTTGCCGCGTTCTTATCGATTCGCTACAAGTAAATCTTTTGAAACCAGTTTTCGAAACGGAGAAGATAGCTAACGAAAACGATTCGATGCATAGAAATTCGTAGGTTTTATAAAAGCGAAACCTCCGATACGATGAATCAACGTGTTAATCGCACAACACGCGAAAATGAAACGAAATAGGTGGTTATTAATCTACCGATGCTGTGCCGAATGGAAGATATAGAAACGGAACGAGACTATAATAAGTTTATAGTTAACAGGATTGTTTTTATTGACGAGTTAACGAAATAGCACGGTCGGAGTATGGTTTTTTGCCAACGAGTTTTAAACGAGTAAAGAACCCACTTGAAAGAGAGCAGCAAGTGGCTTTAAAATATCCATAAAATCTTCGTCAGTCTTTTTCTTTGAAATTCTTTTTGAATTCCACTTCAATATTTTTTTTTAATTTCTCGTGGGATAGATTTATATTGGATATCACGTAAGAAAAAAAATCACGCGAGTACTATATCTGATCTGATGAAAGAGGAGAGAGAGAAAAAAAAAGAAATAAGAAAGAATTCCATTTAAGAGATTATTCCTTTCGACAAGGATCGCTGTAAGCTTTCTATTTTATCAAGTAAGAATTTTTTTTATATGAAAAATATTCTTTTAGCACGAAAGAATCGCGAATAAAAAAATTTATCGGATAACTTAACATTTCTCTCGTATTGAGCGAAAAAGGATGCGTTTCGTAATGTGAAAGAAATCGAATAAAATTTGAAAAAGAAAAATATACGATAAAAGAGAGAAGAAAAAAAAATAGAAAAGTTAACGCCTTTTCCATCCCGTTTCCTCTCAATTATCTTCGTCTATTCTTGATTTATCGTTGGAAAAGATATCGATCCATCTTTGAAAAGTCGAGGGATCGCATGGCAAAGCGATTTCTTTTTTTTTTTTTTTTTTTTTTTTTTTTTTTTTTTTTTTTT